CGCACGCCGGAGTGAGAGCAATAATTCTAGGGCCAGTATTTTGGGGTATTTCTAAATTGATGACCTGCGGGGGCTTTTAAAGTGTCTTTTATTGACTTTTTGGGGTACTGCAGTTTTTCGCCGTTTCACGGTCGCACGCAATCTGTAAACTGGGCATGTTGGGTATAGTTTTACTCGTTGTAACCTCATCTTTTATATTTCATTTAAAAAATTGGTAATTTGTTGTGTTTTGGGGCAATTAAATTTGTCACTAAATTTTGGGGTTTAATAAGGAGTTGCGCTAATATTGCGCAACATAAAAATGTTCAACTACCACCATTTTATTCTATAGGGTCTTGGCATTCAGAAAATATATAATGTTGGGGGGTTTTACGTCATTTTCAGGCCTAAAATGTGGAATATAACATGGGTGCAAAAATTGAAAAAAGGGCCTCAGTCATGAAGGGGTTAATATTTCCCCATCTATATGTACAGCACACTGGTGAGGTCTCCTTGACACTTCCTAGAGTGAATCAGCAAATTGACCCCCTTGTAGCAGAAAAAGATTACTTACAGTGCAACTCATGAATAAACTGGATACTCCTTCAGCATCAAGGACAATTGAGAACACTGGACGTTCAGAACAGCAGTTTGAATGTGCAGACAGGTTTAGTTCAAGTAACGATTGCAGCTTTTCGATGTTCATGCCTTGAGACTGCAACAAAATAAAAACTGGACTAAGATTTAGCCAACACTAGAGATGCATGCCAAGTTTCTCTCCTGCCCACTGGGCGCTGCTCTGTGTCTCCTCTGACAGCACAGCATCCAGCGTGGAGCAAAGAAACTGTCAGGAGGCTGAGCGGTGCGGGGAGAGCGCTGAGCGTGTCACAGGAGGAGCTCTCCTCCCGCACCACTGTAACAGATAAGGAGAGAGGTGTAGTGGCAGAGACAGCTGTTACAGGAGGCCGAGCCAGCGATGAGGGGGAGATGTCCGCTATCAAATGAGACCGAGCTCTCCTCCCCGCACAGCCTCCTGAGAGAGTGGTATACAAACATTCAGCGATTGCTGACTATAACTGGACATAATAAGTTACTATGTACCAGTTATGAATGAATAGGAAGTTATCTACATCACTTCCTATTCATTCATGATTGTGTACACAGTAACTCATACTAGATCCACAATGTATGAATGAACAGGAAAACTCAGTATAGAGGCTTACTGTTTATTCAGAACAGGGAATGCGGAAAAACAGATGGGACTATGTCCGCCATCTTTTTCTATTGTAAAAGGGAAATATCAGGAGTCTTTAGACCCCCATGATATTCCACCAAAGCCCCCAGCAGTAAATCTAACAAGGACAAAAACACGCCTAGTCATAGTCACAAAAGTCTTTGAGAAAGCTGGCAACTTGCATTGGATGTTTGTTTCTTTTCACATCAATATTCCTCTTACCTTACAATTGATGTACACACCACACTGGCACAAGACGAAGCAACTAGTTACAGTTAGGTAATTCCTGAAAGACATCGGTACACATCACCGGAATATTGAAGACTCCATAAGAAACTTAAAACAGAACATTAGTCAAAAAATACATACCGATTACAGACAGGGCACACAATGAGGTGTTCAGCATTCATCCCTACAACTGAATACAGAGAATCTTCCTCAAACTGAAGGATGCTTTCAATTTCTGCAACCATTGCTTGCTCTGAAAGAACAAGAGGACGTTGCAACAACAAATGATAAATCTAATGTATTCACACAAACTGCAAATGTCCATCAATTGTACCTTCTAAAAGAAGTTCCTGTCTGATTTCTTCCAGTGTTACCAGCTCATCATGATCCTGTAAAATGCCCAGTGCCTAAAATAAAACAAAACCCCCACACACACACTTTAAAGATGTATATGGCATACATAATGGTCACAAGTCGATTTTGTAACTGAAATAAGAAACAACCCCTCCGTTTAAAACTGTAGCCAAAGTAACCTGGAGGTGTTCCGTACACAGTTGGTGTATGGAATGCCCCAGAAACCTTACTTAGTACTTCTTTGACTGATTTTCCCAGAAGTCTGCACCAAGATACAAGTATAATTTTTGCCATCCCTTGCAATAGGAATTTCATTTTAGGAGAGACACTCCCGAGGGTTGAATTGAATTCAACCCTCAGTGAGTGTCTCTCCAAAAGCAAAATGCCTATTGCAAGGGATGCCAAAAATTATACTTGTATCTTGGTGCAGACTTCAATGAATTCATACTAAAAGGGATGCCAGCACTGCACCTTTCCCTGTTAAAACACAGGAAGCCCACCAGCTGATAACAAACCCAGACCTTCCCTTTCAGATCACTCAGAGGATTGATTTGTTTAACAAAAAAAGTGTAATTACACTTGAAAGAATAACTCCAGGCAAAATAAATCTTAACCCTTGCAATGGGGCTACCAATGTGCTTATTTTATCTGGGGAGCCCAAAACAGAGATATACTCACCTGAACCTTGATCCCAGCTGGCTCCTAAACCGGCCCTTTGAGCTCATTCCCTTCCCTATTCTAGCGGTCTAAGGTCATGCGAGTCATAATTATCTATACAGTGTATAAAGACATGGCACATGCCATTGGTGGAGCAGAGGAGAAAGGCTGCAGGGACCGGTCTAGTAGCCAGCCGGGATTGTGGCTCAGGTGAATACATCCGTTATTTTATCTCCCGAGAGCTCTGTTTTCCCCCCCCCCAAAGTTATTTAACTAATCACTTGAGCTCTCAAACCTATTTACCCCATATGGACTAGAATATAGAAAATATAAGAATAGCTAAACGAAAGCGACAGCGTATATTTAAAGGAGAACTCCCAGCAACTCACTAACAAACATGTAAATATGTCAAAAAAATAAAGAGGGGAAGTAGTTAATTAGGATTGATGATGGTCAACAATGAATTGATAGGGGTTAAACAAACAATTTTTTATTTAACAACCACACACACACACACACCTATCAAAACTGATGTAGCAGACAGAATCTGGAGCTGATCATAGTAACCAATCAGCTTCTCTATTCAGTTTGATCAGTTAAGCTTTGAAATTAAAGAAAGAAGCAGATTGCTGTGCACAGCTGCTCCAGATTTTGTCTGCTCCAGTTTTGATAAATTCCCCCTCACTTTTGAGTTTGGATTTAACAGGCATCATATGCAATGCAATGGCTGCCCTTTTGATCTGCAGATGAATAAAGCAAATACAATACAACTATGTTGTTACATTGTATTCCTCAGTTCCAAAACTGTGCTCCATACACACTTTTAGAATCTGCAAACTCCCACAGCAGCAGCAGCTGTATCCCAATGTAAAAAGGGAGACATTTCATTTTTAACTTGCCAATCCAGGCCTATAATAGGTGCATACAATGGACATTAAACACTTCTGTTCTACACAATACAGATCACCACTTTACCTGGGAAAAGTCCTCCTTTTTCCACAGAGAGGGAAAACTTCCACTGCTTGACTGCATTGCTTTCCATTCTTCTTCCATAACCTCCTGCACCAGGAAGGAGCCCCCAATTCCTCCATTCACAGTTTCCCCCACTTGTCGAAACTTATCCAGGAGTCTAGAGCGGTTGCTCTTCAATCTTTCAACACATCTCTAAAACAGGAAAAAGTAACATTAGGTGAAGATCACTAGCTGTCCAAAACACTGACGACATATGCCAGTTCCCTGTCACCATATAATAACGTATTGACAGCATGCACAACGGGCTTCCAGCTACAATAAAACACAGCCTCTAGAACTGCCGCCACAACCATACTGTTATACATCAGATTACCTTCCTGTATGTCTCCTTCCATGGAGGGGTCGTTCCCTTGTACAAGGCACGATGCCTCATCCCAGCCTCCATCATAATCTATGTCTCTACTCCGTGCACACAGCGCTGCCCAAAGTCACTCCCATTTAAATGCCCGCCCCACGTGATGTCAGTCTCCTGGCGCAATGCATGCCGGTCGTTGTAGTTTCGATCTCGGAGCGCCATGAATGCTGGTAATATTGTTGCTATGTAAACCATCGATAAAGAGCTCCATAAATAAAGATACTAGAAGAAACGCAGGAGCTAATCTCTTGAGTACGGGAAACTTTCGAACACATACTGACCAATTGTTGCATTGTGAAAACATAGATCAGTCACAAGAAATGATTGCACTTCTCTTGTATATACTTCTGATTCAGGAAGCAGAACTGTGTCCATCCCCTCCCCCAAACATTGAAAAGTGTATTTCCAAGTTTGCAGCCAATTTGGGATAACAGCTGCTTTATATCTCTCGCATGTTCTCATTCACATAGAAGAACTTTACAAAATATGTTAAAATTGCTACTTACTTTTTTACTTTCTGAAACATCTCAGTTAGCTTTCTCCTGCTACGTCCTGTTAACCACTTCCTGCCCGTGTTACATATATATGCGGCAGTACGGCCAGTGAAATGTAATGCCATGCTACCAGATATATGTGTCTATTACGCTGAGAGTATGCTCACTGTATGCTGTCACAGACCGCTCCTGGTCTCCGCTAACGATCAGTAATAGCCAGTCACATGATCAGGACTTCCAGCATTAGGACCCAGTTGAAGGGCTGGCAGGAGGCAGTGGGAAGGGGCTAAGGAGGGGGTTGGGGAGTAATGTTTGCCATAATTAAAGTGATACTAAACTCAGGAGTTAAACCTTAAAAATACATTCAAGTCACTTAACTAGTAACAAAACTGGACCTTATTTGTGTATCACTCCGCTGTAGATCATCAAATCATCTCTGAATTGGTGGTGACACTGTTCTTCCTTCTGGAGGGTGGCTACTTTTGTTCCCCGTGGTCCCTGTGTGTGTTGTAAAGTAGTCACGGCTCCAAGCTCACTTCTGTGATGGACTACAATCTCATGTTTAGTTTACTCATTTGTATTAAGATTGTAGTCCATCACAGGAACCTTGCTGGTTGCCTTCAATAATGGGGTGTGTTTGTAGTCGGAAGCCTTGCACCAAATTCATGAAAACCTTGCAACACTTTCGTCACTAGTATCAGTGTATCGCTTCTCGCCCTTTTGGCTAAGATCAAGTGTAGTATCTATTCTTATCAGTTGCCGGAGTGGAAAGGACATGGTCGCCTATGTAGAAAGGTGTACTTGTTGCCATGGCGCACAGGGCGCCATGGCAACAAGGGCGCCGTGCGACCGACACAGCTCGTCCTGGGGGCGGTTTCTCTCCCCCTCACCGCTGGGCGCTGGCCATCCGATATGACAGCGCTCCCTCGTCCGCCCCCCCCTTCAGGCATCGGTTGCGCATACGTGGGAAAACGACGATTTCACCCATTACGCCGCACATGTTACATATCGCCGCAAACGTCGGAATGAGAGCAATAATTGTAGGGCTATCAATCACTGATAACACTAAACTGAAGAGCGGTAAAAGCTTTTAAAGCGTCACCTATGGTCAATTTTGGGCATGGTAATTTTTTGCGATTTTGCGGGTGCGCGCAATTTTAAAGCATGACATGTTTGGTGTCTATTTACCCGACGTGACCTCGTCTTTTTATATTTTACCAAAAATACGGGTGATAAATGGGTGTGGCTACTGGGGGTGTGGCCACTGAGGGGTGTGTCACTGAGGGGCGCTGTAAAGCTTTCTCGCACAGGGCGCCTAAAGACCTAAGGCCGGCCCTGCCCGGACGGCACTACCTTCTGATGGGAATGGGTGCGAAGCTTGGTCAAGGCTGAAGGGTTGGGAGGCGGCAGAGCCCGTGGTGTTGTGCCCCCAGGCGGTGGCGTCCCAGGGGTGCTCAGAAAGTCACATGGGTGTGGGACCCCACATTGACTCACTGATCCACTTGGTCACACACCACCTTGCACTTTCTGCACATCGCCTCCGAGACAGGCCTTATGGCTAGTCCGGGGCAATATTTTTGCACTCCGGTCCCTAAGGCCTGTCAGCGTGGTGCACTGGCACTTTAGTATCATTTATTGCACTTAATGCACGATTGGCTCTTTTAAAAAGCGTTTTGACCCACAGATGCAGCGGGTGAAGGTTCCTTTGGGGCCTTTTCCTGATGTGGGGAGGAGATTCTGTGCCCTAATATAGGGTTCTCTGTCTCCTCCCACCCAGGGGGGGTCTCTCTTCGGGAGAGCCCCCTACCTAGTCCTGTGTGGGACCTGTTTTGGCAGGCCCCCAAAGGATCGGGGTCCACCGGCCTTCGGGTTGGTGGGCCAACAGTCTCAACCCCTGTCAGGAGCCTTGCGCCCCTGGGGGTCGGGAATCGAGGTCCACTTTTTTTGTTCACAGGGGGAAGTTGTTTTTCGATGCACAATGCACAGGCTCTTTAAAAAAAAAAATCAGTGTGTGCAACAAATTCTGCTGGAAGATCTCCATTGTCAATTGTAAACTGAATGTGCAGGATTGTCTTTACCAGGGGTGGGCATTTCATTTTGCTAAGGAGCCACATGAGAAACTGGGACTTTTGTGGAGGATCAAACCTACTGTGCATTACAGTGTGGCAGGGCCATTTGAAAAGCACCCCAAAAACACCTCCCCGCCACAATGTGACCGACTGTGCCTCAACGTGTGGTACCGCAATACCATGTGTTGCAGTGCAGTTGAAAAAAGTAGAGCATGCAACACAATGCACCTGCTGCACTTTAACTCACAGTACCATGCTTTCATTGCACAGAACTGCAATGAATGATGAATGATCCCTTACTGCCCCCTCATAGTATGAATGATCCCTTACTGTCCCCTCATAGTATGTGGCACATACGTACTAATTTTTTTCGTCATGACAGGCCACAGGTGGGAGCCGGGAGGTGGAGCTTCAGGAGAGGAGAGGACAGGCAACCCAGCATTACAAATATCCTCCTGTAAAGCTGGGGGCAGCAAGACATTTGATGTTGTTTGTTTGGACCGCCCAGCGGTCCTAGCGGCCAAGGACCGCAGAGGAGGAAGACCTCTGATGTCACTGGCTGCTAAAACACCAGCACTCATAGCAACCAACAACTGAAGAGGAACAGAGTCCAGAGACAGACCGATCGCTGATGTGCACTGGGCTATGGCTTGCATCCGTGACCGATCGCACCGACTTTTCAGACTGTCAATGTCATTTTGGTGCCACCCCTCCAATGGTGTCACCCAGGTGCGGGCCGCACCCCCTTGTGACACCACTGGTATGTGAATGTATTGTCCCTTATCTCCACATTGCCATCTATTCTAGCAACAGAAACTTCCTATAGTGTCCTATGTACAAACCGGCTCCAAACAAAACTAGAACGGTAAGAAATATTTTGTATGATCATTTTTAGATATGATGTGAATGGCAACACATAACAAACATATAGGGTCAGGTGTATAAATCGTCCACCCAGTGTAGCTTGGCGAATGTGAACAGCATCAGCCCGTTAGTGGGGGTTTCCCCCTTTGGAACCAAATATGGCAGGTATACAAAGGCGAAAATACTACCCTAAATATGAGATGACAGTTCTCCATTCTTCTGCTTTCAGACAGATTTAACAATGATCTAATGTCCGTGGACCACCTAATGAGCAGTACACTGGGCAGGTTACATGATGCTTTTCTCAGGTGCTATAGTAAAGAAGATACATGAGGTCACATGTTGGAAATTCTACAAGAACATCTTACAAACCCAGAGCTACAAGTTGGAGACTTAGGAAAACACTGCAGTGGTGATTCAATAATCCATTGTTGACACATTTTGGGAAGCCTTGTGACAAATGAATGAAAACCCTGCAACCTTTTTATTATTAGTTCTGCCACATGCCACAAATCCAAGTAATTCTGATCCGCATCCCTTTTACTGTATGGCGCTATTGTTGTGACCAATTCAGAAAGAAATACTGTACCGCCATATTGGTGATAAGGAAAGAGGAGGTTAATAAGACCTCTTCCATGATGAAGTAAATCATTGTGATGCACATGCAAATTATGTGCAAGTTTGCAAAAACATTTGTCTGTAAGTTCCAATTGGATACATTTCCATTCCTCTCCCAACAGCTTTTCTGCCTGTAAACACTTAAACACTGCACAGGAGAGATTCAGTACAGCGTTGCATGACGGAATAAACGTCAGTCAAAGGACTGCAGCGCTGAACACTGAAAAATGGCCTGGCCAGGAAGGGGGTCTAAACACCTGGTCTTGAAGTGGTTAATATATTCATATACACCTTACCAACACCCACATGACTCTGTCCAAAGTTCCTTCATGTCTCACTACTGCTAGACAGGTTTCTGAAAAGTATCTACGACACTCTATGAATTCCAGGGAATGTTGTGTTCATGGGGTGTTAGACAAATGGGGAATAACCTGGAGGCCAGTATGTCTTATGGTGAAAAGAATTCCCCTCACGTCCTGTTCTGGTGACCAAATAAGAAGTGAGGAAAATGTCCCCAGTGGTTACAGAAACAGCAACACTTAGCAGGAGTTATCCTTAAAGCTGTAGGCTTATATAGGACAGGCGGACTGCAACCAATTAAAGTGTATCTGTAGGCAAAACCTTTTTTTATCAGTTCTGTTTGTGACATTGACATAGGTATGTGTGAGGACTGAAGAAGCCGAGAACGCGATTTAGTGTCCCCCATTGTATGTAATGACAAGTGCCTGCCTGTCAGATACGGAAGTAGTACGCCAGCCCTCAGCGTCTCTCTGCTTCCCGTTCCCGGCTTGTCGCAAGTAATGGACGTCATACGTGTTGGCGGGGAGGCCGCGGCTTAGCAGAACATGGCGGCACATGGAAGGGCTACTGAGAGGTGGCAAAACGTTCTAAGTGACCACCGAGTGTTCTCTGAGCTCCGACATAGAGAGAAAGGGGAAGCGAGCCGCCAGGGTCCGAGCCAACTGAAGAATCTTATCTGCTGCTTGGACGGGGATCTGCTGGTGTGGAGCCCGGAGCACAAATGTTTCCATATCGT